GCTTCAGCCGTGATGTAACAATCACACAACCATGATGTAAACATCACCACAACCGTTATGTAACCAATCACACAACCATTGATGTAACATCATACATCGGGATTGTAACAATCATACATCCGCTGATGTAACAATTCACACAACCATGATTGTCAAAATCATACATCGTGATGAAACAATTAAACTACCATGATGATAACAATCATACATCCATGAGTGTAACAATCACACAACCATGATGTAACCAATATACATCCGTTGAGTAACGATCATACATAGTGATGAACAATCACGACAACCATGAGTGCTAACCAATCATACATCCGTTTGATGTAAACAAATCACACAAACTGTGCATGTAACAATCATACATCCGTGATGTAACAATCACACAACCGTGATGTAACAATCACACATCCATGATGTAACAATCACACAACCGTGATGTAACAATCACACAACCATGATGTAACAATCATACATCCGTGATGTAACAATCACACAACCATGATGTAACAATCATACATCCGTGATGTAACAATCACACAACCATGATGTAACAATCATACATGCGTGATGTAACAATCACACAACCATGATGTACAATCATACTCCGTGATGTAACAATCACACAACCATGATGTAACAATCATACATCCGTGATGTAACAATCACACTGACCACAACTAACCCTCTTCTAAACAAAGCCACACAACCAACCCCCCTCACCACTTCCAACACGCCTAAAACACTTACCATGATGTAACAATCATACAGTCGCGCTGATGCTAACCAATCAACACAACCATGATGCTAACAACGTCATACATCCGTGAGCTAACAATCACCACAACCATGATGTAACAATCATAACATCCGTGATGTAAACAATCACACAACCATGATGGACAATCATACATGGCGTGATGTAACATCCACACAGCACCATGATGTAACAATCATACATTGTGCTGAATGCTAACAAGCATACACTCCGTGCAGTCGTAACAATCACACAACCATGATGTAACAATCATACATCCGTGATGTAACAATCATACATCTGTGATGTAACAATCACACAACCATGATGTAACAATCATACAACCATGATGTATGCAATAACGTAACTATTTTACCACTGCAATCATTGCAACAGGAAATAAGACAATAAGTGACGTACATTGGATAAGAATAACAGAAGAACGTAGATTTTCCCAATTAAAAAAACATATGCTTGCATTTCCTTTGAGAGCCGTTCACCGGTCTGGCTGTATTTTAACATTCAACATAAGGTAAAAACATAAAGAGTTTGTGACATGTTCACGTTGCTACCTGTGAGGCGCGTATGTTGACGTCGCCAAGTGAGAATAAACGTTGGATTACGCTGCGATGAGCTTCATTCTTGATCACAGCGAGGGAGGCCAACATGATGGCAGTATAACCAGCCTGCGGAGACACACACACACACACACGGTCACCACCGTATTCAAACACTGCACGTGACACAGAGCACGAATCGCTAAATCCCACGTAAACGTTGGGGATGAATGGAAAATTGTTTGCAGAGTAGAGAACAGCTAAAAAATCGATAATTGCACAATTACACTCGTAATCAAATACTACACGCAAGGTAAACCACAAATCACAAATTGTCGAATCTTCGGATAATGATGGACATGAATAGAAAACTATTTGCAAAGTATAAAAGAGCAAAAAACGATAATTACGATTGCATGTTGAAACTATAAAAGAAGAAAAACTGGTTGGAAGACAAAACTGTCAATCACACCGATTTTCATTCCGACATTCATTCAATATCCATGCATGCCCAAATCATATCAACTATTTCACTAGACTCTTTCTCTCTCTATCTCCCCCCCTCTCTCTCTCTCTCTTTCTCTCGCTCTCTTTTTCTCTCTCCATCTCGCTTTATCTCTCTCTCCTTCTTTCTCTCCCCATCCCACTCCACGCCACGCCACACTGCACCACGCCGCGCCACGCCGCGCCACGCCACGCCACACTGCACCATGCCGCGCCGCATCGCGTCATGATCTCACCTTGTTTTGTCGGTTGACATCGCAGACCTTGGAGTCTAGCAGCAGACTGACGATGTCGAAGTTGCCGTGGGAGACGGAGTAGTGCAGGGCCGTGTTGCCGTTGTTGTCGGCCATGTTTACGACCTTGGCGAGATGTTCGTGCGATATCTCCTCAAACTCGTCCAAATAGTCCTCCACCTACGCAGCGGCGTGCAAACGCAGACACGTAAAACGTGTAAAAACGTGTGAAATGAGTAAAATGTGTAAAAACGTGTGAAATGAGTAAAATGTGTAAAAACGTAATGTGTTAATCATGTAAAATGTAAACGTGTGAAATGCGCGCAAACGCAAACACGTAAAATGTGTACAATGTGTAATAACGTAATTGTGTAAAATGTAAAAACTCAAATGCATAAAATGTGTTAAACGTAAGCGTATAAAATGTATAACAGCGTAAACGTGTGAAATGTGGGAAAATACTTCAGTATGTATTCGTGGGCGTAGTGTCACATCTTAAGCTATGATAAAATTCGAGAACAAAGACGATTTAATGGGTAGAATATTTCAGTAAAGAGTTGCAGTCTGAGCAAAGTCGTTCTAGGGAGGGACCTCGAGTCAAAATTACGAAAGAAAAACATTTTCTATGGTCGTTCAGAAACAACGTGTAGGATAAGATTAATTTAGGAATCATTTCGTTTTATTATTTTTTACAATTTCTACATTAATTGCATTTACGTTAATTGTATTTTAAGATTACGTTAAGATTTAATTAAATAAACATAATTTTTATTTTACTAAAATATCGATAAGCAGTGGCAATTCTTCAGGGCCCCCCTCAGGCTATGAGTGCTGAGTTTAGGCATACCTGGTGTGGATTGGCATTCTTCTGACTCGAGGCTTTGAACCATTCACGTTGAATCACTGCGATCGCATGAAGCTGAAAACAGACGGGAGAATGAGACCTTAATACTCGTAATATTCACCTACATTCACAATGTCACGTATATATTTTATATATAGGCCCCCTACCTACATTATATTATAGTCATCTATTATTCTATCGAGACTATATATACATCTTATCATCATTATTGCATATTTTTTTACTACTGGTTTTATAACTTCGCATGACGTGCACTGATTAATTAGACTTGCTGATTAAAATCGGCTAATGGAATTCTTGACGTTTTCGATCCTTACCACTTTCTTTGGAGTTGGTTTCACGGGTTTTTTCATGTATCCGTCCAGTAGCTTGCAGCTTGCACTCATCTCCCCACCCAGCGGGAACCTGAGAACACAGCAACACCCGTACATGAGCGGATATAACAACGACGAGACACGCACAAACCATTACGATAGCGATACCAAGTATGAAAAAGAAATATAGAACACAACCAACCATGTTACATACAATACAAGTATGATAACAATAGAGACACCACAACCATGTACATAGCGATTACCAAGGTAGAATAACAACATGGAGCGACGCCACCAACCATGTACATTACGATACCAAGAGTGAATAACAGACATAGCAGACACCACCAACCATGTACATTTACGATACCAAGAGTGAATAACAGCATAGAGACACCCCAACCATGTACATACGATTACCAAGCACGTGAAATTAATAACAACATTAAGAGACACACCAAACCACGCTACATACGTACCAGTATAGGTGAATAACAACATAGAGACGCCACCAAACATGTACATACGATGACAATATGAATAACAAACATGAGACGAGCGGCTACCAACCATGGTACATTACGATACCATGAGATTAAAACACATAGAGACACACAACCACGTACCATACGATACCAAGTATGAATAACAACATTGAGACGCCACCAACCATTGTACATACGATACCAAGGTATTGAAATAACAAATGGAGACACGACCAACCACGTACATACGATACCAAGAAGTGAATAACAACATAGAGACACGCACCAGTAGGCCATGTACATACGGTAGTTACCAAGAGTGAATAACAGACAGTAGAGGACGCCACCAACCACTGTACATACGCCATACCAAGAGTGAATAACACATAGGAGGACGCCACCAACAGTACATACGATACCAAGTATGAATAACAACATAGCAGACACCACCAACCATGTTACATAACGATACCAAGAGTGAATAAAACAACATAGAACACCACCCAGACCACGTACATACGATACCAAGTATGGAATAACAACATGGAGACCACCACCACACCACGCACATACGATAACAAGACGATGAATAACAACAATAGAACGCCACCAACCATGTACATACTATAGCGCAAGATTAATATTCGAGACATAGAGACACCACCAACCAGGTACGTTACGATACAAGATGTGAAAAAACAACATTAGCAGACACGCTACGACGCGAGTTGGGGACATACGAACCAAGTATGAATAACAACAGGTATGATCGAGCCGAGGCCAACCACGTACATACGATACCAAGCTATAATAAGCAAGCATAGAGACACCACCAACCATGTACATACCGCCATAGCCAAGTATGCAATAACACATAGAGACGCCACCAACCAGTGTACAACGATACAAGGATGTGAATAAACATAACATGAAGACTACCAGCCAACAGTTACATACATTACAATGAGTGAAATGAACAGAAGCATGGAGACGGAGCACGCAGGAGCGGAGGGGTGTACGATACGGTGGGGATAACCAAGTATGATAACACATAAGAGACACCACAACCCATGTACATACGCATACCAAGGCAGTGAAAAACAACATAGAGACGCCTGATGGCTCGAGAGCGTAGTGTACATGACAGATACCAAGTAATGAATAACACATAGAGACACCACCAACCACGTCATACGATACAACGAGTGAAATAATCAACATAGAGACACCACCAACCATGTGGACATACGATACCAAGGTATGACATAACAACATAGAGACACCACCAACACGCTACATACGGATACAAGAGTGGATAGAGACAACATAGAGACGACACCAGACCATGTACATACGAGACCAAAGTATGAATAAAAGCATAGAGACACCACCAACCATAGCTACATACGATACAGTGGAGTTGTTATTGAATAACAACATAGAGACACACCAAACCATGTACAATACGATACAAGAGTGAGAATAACAACATAGAGCACACCACCAACACCAATTACATCGAATACAAGCGTGAATAACAACATAGAACACACCAACCACGTCACAATACCGAATACCAAGAGTGAATAACAACAGAGAGGACCCACCAACATAGTACATACGGATACCAAGAGTGAATAACAACATAGAGACACCACCAACCATGTACCATTACGAGTACCAAGACTTGAATAACAACCATAGAGACAACACCAACCATGTACATTACGATACCAAGACGTGAATTAACCAACGAATAGGAGACACCACCAACCACGCTACAGTGACGATACAGAGTGAATAACAACATAGGCAGACGCCACCAACCATGCTCATACATACAAGAGTGAATAACAAACTAGAGACGCCACCAACCACTGCTACAATACATACCAATATGCAATAAACGAATATAGAGCACCATCCAGACCATGCTTACATGTACATACCAAGACGTGAATTAACAACATTAGAGACACCACAACCACTGTACATACGATTACCCAGTAGAATAACAACATAGAGACACCCAAACCTACCATGTACATACGATACCAAGTATGCAATAACAACGATAGGAGACGCCACCAACATGCTACAATACGATACCAAGTATGAATAACAAAACCATGAGACATCCACCAACCAGTGTACATCACGATACAAAGAGTGAACTAACAACATAGAGACGCCCACCAACCATGTACATACGATACCAAGACGCTGAAATAACAACATAGCAGACGCACCAACCATCTACATGACGATACAAGAGTGAATAACAACATAGAGACGCCACCAACCATGTCCTACATACATACCAAAGCTATGCGAGATAACAACATAGAGACACCAGCCAACCATGCACGTACGATACAAGAGTGAATAACAACATAGAGACACCACCCAACAGTACATACGATACCAAGGAGGATAACAACTATAGAGACACACCACACCATGATACATACGGATACAAGTATTGAAATAACAACATAGAGACGCCACCAACCGATGTACCAACGATACATATATGAATAAACAACATGCGAGACCACCACCAAACCATGTATCGTACGATACAAGAGTGAAATTAACAACATTAGAGACCACCACCAACCAATGTACATACGATACCAATATGAATAAAACATAGAGACACCACCAAACCATGTACATACGATACCAAGACGGTGAATAACAACATAGAGACGCCACCAACCATGTGACATACGATACCAAGTGCTATGAATTAACAAACATAGAGACACCACCAACCATGTACGTACGATACCAAGACCGTGAAATAAACAACATAGCAGGACACCACCAACCACGTACATACGCAACCAGAGTGAATAACAATATACGAGACACCACCACCAGGTACATACGATACCAAGTATGAATAACAACATGGAGACAGCCCACCCAACCATGCTACATACGATACCAAGACAGTGAATAACAACAGTAGAGACACCACCAACCAGGTACATACGATAACAAAGAGGAATAACACATAGAGACACCACCAAACCATGCTACATACGATACCAAGTATGATAACAGACATAGAGCAACACCACCAACCAACTGTACCATTACAGATACAAGAGGGAAATAACACATGGCAGACTCGCCACCAACAGTACATACGGCATACCAAGTATGGGTAATAACAACATGGAGGACACACCAACCATGACGTACGATACCAAGAGTGAAGGATAACAACTAGAGACACCCACCAACACGTACATACGATACAAGAGTGAATTAAACAATATAGCAGACACTACCAACCATGTACATTACGATACAAGAGTGGAATAACAACATAGAGACGCCACCAACCATTGTACATACGATACCAAGAGTGAATAGACCAACATGCGGAGACTCCACCAGCCAGTACATACGATACAAGATGAATAACAACATAGCAGGAACACCACCAACATCTACATACGCATACCCAAGCTATGAATAGAACAATATAGAACACCACCAAACCATGTACCATTACAAGATACCAAGTATGAATAACAACATAGAGACAACACCAACATGTACATAGCGCATACCAAGTCATGAATAACAACAAGAGAGGGGGGGGGGGGGGGGGGGGGGACACCACCAAACCACCGACATGACGATACCAAAGAGGAATAACAACATGGAGACACCACCAACAGTACATAACGGCATACAAGTATGAAAATAACAACATAGAGACACACCAAGACCAGTACATCACCGATACCAAGTAATGAATAACAACATGAGCAGACGCAACCAACCACTGTACATTACGATACAAGGAGTGAATAACAACATAGAGGGGGACCGCCCACCAACCACTTTACATACGATTTACATAGAGTGAATAAACCCACCATAGCAGACACACCAACCACGTACATACGATACCCCAGAGGTGAATAGACAAAATTAGAGCACACTCACCAACCAATGCTACATACGATACCAAGTGAGAATAACAACATAGAGACGACCACCAACCATGTACATACGGATACAAGACTGAAATAACAACGATAGAGGACGCCACCAGACATGTACATACGAATACCAAGTATGAATAAAACAACATAGAGACACCACCAACCATGTACGTTACGATACCAAGACGTGAATAACAACAATAGGAACACCACCAACCACGTACATAACCGATACCCAAGAGTGAATAACCAATATAGAGGACACCACCCAACCAAATTACATACGCATACCAAGTATGAATAACAACATAGAGGACGCCACCAACCATGTACATACGATACCAAGTATGAATAACAACATGGAGGACACACCACCATGTACGCTACCATTACCAAGAGTGAATAACAGACATAGAGACACACCAACCCATGTACATACGATTACAAGTATGAATTAACAACATAGAGACGACCACCAACATCCCTGTCGTACATTACCGGGATTTAACCAAGAGTGAATAACAAAGCAGTAGCAGACGCCACCAACCACGTACATACGATACCAAGACACCGTGAATAACAACATAGAAGATTCGCCACCAACCATGTACATGACGATACCAAAAAGTGCAATA